AAAAAAAAAAAAAAAAAAAAAAAAAAAAAAAAAAAAAAAAAAAAAAAAATGTTACTGAAGGAAATCAAAGAAGACAAAAATAAGTGGAAAATCACCACATACTCAGGAACTAGAAGACTTACACCATCTTAATACCATTAAGATGTGAGTACTAGACCTGCTTAGGCTCAGTGTGCTGGGCTCTGCTGACTCCCCATGGGAGACCTCGATTTGGGGGATGTGGGGTTATGGGGTGGCTTGGGAAAGAGGGCTGGGGGGTGGGAGGAGGGAGGAGGGGCAGTCTATAGATAGCATGTGGAGTGAATAGAAAATTTCTTAATAAAGAAAAATGAAAAAAAAAAGATTTGAGTACTACCCAAAGCATTCTACATGTTCAATGTAATCCCTATCAACATCCCAAAAATATTATCTGAAGAAATATAAACATCCATTTTAAAATTCATATGGAATCTCAAGAAATTCTGAATCACCAAAATAATCTTGAAGAAATAAATTGGAGGCTTTACATTTGTTGATTACAAAGTTTGAAGACAGACAGACATATAGACCAATAGTACAGAATATAGAGCATGGATATAAACATCACACATATGTTAAATGACTTTCAACAATGGGAAAAACCAGCCCTTTCGGACAAGGGTGAGGAAAAGCTGGACATCCAAATGTAAGGGAATGAAGTTAAACCCTTACCTTCTAAGGATCCACTCAAAATGGGTCATGGTCATAAGTGTAAAACACAGCACTATAAGAATTCTAGGAAAAGTTGGACATGATACACTCTTTTTTTTTTCTTGGAGCTGAGGACTGAACCCAGGGCCTTGCGCTTGCTAGGCAAGTGCTCCACCACTGAGCTAAATCCCCAACTCTCATGATATACTCTTAAGCACATATCCTATAATTATATAATTATTTTAAAACAAATGATGCTTAAAAGCCTCCTGGCTGCAGAACATAGGTGTCCTAGGGGAAACTGCAAAAACCTGAACATAGATGGGTATCACATGATAGTAAGAAATTACTGTTCCTTTGCTTCAGTGTGGTAATAGTGTTCAGAGCTATGCTGAACAATGTTATTTCTCTTCAAATGCAAGTAAAGAAATATTTAGGAGTAAAGTGTCCCACTTAAAAACTTATTTCCAAATGGTATATGCAAACAAATTAGCAACATATATAAATAAACATATATTCAAATGCAGTCATACTCATATATACATATATGAACATACATATAGTCTTAATATGTTTATAATACACATATACAAAAATACACATAAACCTACACATAAATATACAGGTCATACTCACAAACAAGGATATATGAGCATGCACACAACATTACACATATTATCAGCACATAATATATAGTTATATTTACATTATAATTAATATACATTATATATTACATGTATGAACTACTAAATTTACACAATGCACAATGGGTGTTCACTACTCTTTCAATTTTCTGTTGTAATGGTTCAGAAACTTGTCAAAATACAAAGATGGGAGAGTGGAAATGCTTCTGGGAGAAGTACTCTATGGTCAGGATTCCCTAATAACTTGGCAAGAATAAATGTAGTAACATGTTTCTCATAAAATGTTCAATAGGTGGTTACAAATGAGCTAGTGGGCGAAATGTGACACCAGCTGGAACCATAAGAAACCCATCAAGTTACCACCTGGGGAAATTCTTAACGTAGAAAATCTTGCAGAAGGTTTTGAAGCAGCAGAGAACAGGAATGTTAAGAATCTCAGCCTCTAAGAAGTGGGATTAGGGTAAAGCAGAGTGGTTGAACCACAGGCTACTCTGGCCAAATATGAAATATGTAGGGCTTCCAGCTGCTGCCAACAGCTGACAAGTGATTCATGGTCAAGGCTATTTGATCTCTTTACTACATACAGAAGAGAGATAAGCTTCTAAAAGTTCCAACCCCCCCCCAAAAAAAAAACCAGAGCATTTACTCAACATTTTAACTATTAAATATTTAAATGTTTCACTAGTAAAACTTATTACAGGCTCCAAGGGGTATTATTAAACCTGATATTCATGAGGAAAAAAGACCAAGTCCACAACTTCTAGTTAAAGTAATCTGTATTTTGGGGTGCACCCTAGACTTGACACTGGCCAGCTGGCTGCCTCATCCTAATTTGGGATTTGAGAGAACAGCCCCTGCTGACCTCAGGAAGTTTCTTTTATAAAAGAGATCGGGTATTCACGGGAGCTAACGGGTTGGCAGTCATAAAGAGGAGGCTATAATAAAAATGGGGGAACAAGCAGTTTATATCCGACCTACGAAAGAGAAACTTAACTGTAAATAGAAACCTTCTTTAGCAAAGACTTAACATAGAACAAATAGGAACTTCTTCTTAATTACAATTAGAAACTTTATTTTGCCAGGACTTAACACAGGATGAACAAGAACTTATTCTTTAACTAGGATTTAACACAGGACAAACAGGACTTCTTAATTACAATTAGAAACCTTAACTACAAGGACTTAATATAGGAAAATCAGGAACTTCTTTCCAACTGTCTTAACTGCAGAGCTCTTAACCCTCTAGTTTTGTTTTTTGTCATTTTGTTTTGTTTTGTTCTCCTATTAACTTGTGAGTTGTATTGTTCCTGTTTCGGTGTTACAGTGTATCAGTAGTAAAAGCACTTGCTTAACAAATGTGAAGCCCAGGGTTCAATCCCCAGTATTACCAAAAAATACCTCACTGCAAAATAATATAGTACACACTCATTACAGAAAACCTGGAAAATATACAGAATGTTGAAAAGCACAAATCATCCATAATCTATCCATAAACTATCCATAAACTATCAAGTCTTAAGTACATTTTTTCTGATCCTCTACCTAGAGGGTCATTTAGCACAGTTTGGAGTCAAACTGCTTATTTAAGTTGAATATGTACATTTAACATTATATTATGGGTAGTTCCCACATCGTTAACATCTTTTGCTTAGCATAAAAAAAATGGTGAATTTTCTTTAGAAACTGATTCAGATAATTCCTAAGTACTGCTGAAATAAGAAAATTAAATACAAGGTAATGAATGTGATGGGTTAACAGCCTTTATTTTACAATGACACAAAATGAGATTCAAAGGTAACATCAAAAGAGCTCATCCTTAGTAAACACTATCTCATCACACATGAACTATACTCACACATGTGTACAGCACATTATGTAATTGTCCTTGTCTCACACATAACAATATATAAATACACATGATATGCAAATGCAAAAACATTCATGCTCATACATGTATACATATGAACACACATATAAATGTGATACACATATGTACACACAAAATTCCATACAAATCCACACATAAATATACATGTCATATACACATCAACATAATACATAACATATTACATGGACTAAATTTAGATGTTGGGCAAGGGGTCACACAAGCTTGAAAATTGTCAGGCTATAAAAATTCTGTTTCACAAGGACAATGTTCACGTATCTCCTAATGTACTGCTAGAACTACAAAAAGAAAAGAAAAAGGGGAGGGGAGGGGAGGGGAGGGAACATGTCTGTCGTGATGGTGTAAATTATAATCCTGGTACTTGGAAGGCTGAGGCAGGAGGACTATGTGACCAAGTCCAGCCTGAGCTACACAGCAAGCCCATCTCAAAACAAAACAAAACCTAAAAACTTGCATGTTCACAAGGAAAAGGAGACAAAGAAACATGTCAGCTCAGCATCTTCATAAGATGACTACTACCCGGTAGGGAAAACAGTAGTGCTGAAAGCCCCGAGTACCACACAAGCTGGTGAAAAAAGCAAGTGGCCGAGTTCACTACATCAAGCATCTCAACTCCACACACCCACACCCCATACTCCATACTGCTTGAGGCAACATGTAGTCTAAATGGGAAAGCTCTACAATGGTCAAAGTATAAGAAAGGAAGGAAGGGAGGGAGGGAGGGAGGGAGGGAAGAAGGAAGGAAGGAAGGAAGGAAGAAAAAGTGCTGGGTGCATTGCACACTCATTCTGTGGTCTTGTAGTTACAGAGACAGCCTTTTTTTTCATTCACTCAGAAAAAATTTACTGGACACTTACTGTGTGCCATACTCTTCCAGACAACAATGTTTAAGCAGTGGATCTGACTGACACACTGTAATGAAAAAACGCAAAGAACA